GGGAATCTTATAACTATTAACTCAACCATGAAACTCTTCTGTGCACTAAGAGACTAATGTGACTATCTGTCCAATACCAAGACTTTGGCCCAATTGCATTATGAAATCAGTTTCACAAAATTGTCTCTAAACAACAAGTCAAACAATTTCCTTTGTAAGACTAATTACACAGCATATAGTCACAAAACTCTCTCCCATAAACTCTTAAGCATAGTGATGATGAGGTGATGATTTAGGTTTGTTGCCCTGGGTATCTTGAGTCAGCCATGAACTTTTCTGTCCACAAAAGAGTTTATATTAGGCCATCTGCCTAGCAATGAGGCTTGGCTAAAACTGGGATCAATATCACAATGATCCCAAACACAGCAGACAAAGTCCTGATTAAATACTGTCGTGGGATCTTAAGAGAGGTGAAAAGTCTACAAATTAATTAACGGTGGTAAGTGCGGGCCAAAATCCCAATTGTCAGACAAAAAAAATTGACTACTTTATGTTTTCCCTGCTATAAGCGTAACCAAAGTCAGACCTTGGAGTTAACTTTTAGGTTTTTGCACAGTTCATCACTCCCAGAGCATCTCTGGCTGACATTCAAACGTTAGAGCCAGACAAAGACTTAAAGAGGAGCAGCAAAAGCAAGTAAGGTGGACTAGCAGTGTTTACCTCTTACTGATGGTGTAAAATATTCTCCCTGCTGCCTGGATATAGAGACGCTAGCATGTCATAACAGTCAGTAAATACAGCAACAGTGTCTCCAGTAAGAGGCTTCTTCACATTTACTGAAAGACTGACTGTTACCAGATAACTTTTCTCCATCCACAGTGACTCTCTGAACATAGATGGAATAAGTTGCATTTAATTTCCATTCAGAAAAAAAATAAGTAAATTTTAATTGAATTGTATTCCTTTTTTAATGAATAAATACTGGCAGTGTGAAATCTGCGTTTTTGAACACAGAGTTTGATGTAAATCCTTTCAAAAACTGTTAAAAATGAGGCCATTATTCTGATAAGAAAACCCTTGAATGGGACAAGGATGTACTTTCTTTTTACAATACCAGTACAATAATCAACAACTCATAGACATTAGTTACAAACGTGTGGAATGAATTAATGCATTTTAGCTGAGTGCAAGAATGTTCTTTCCTCCCAGAATGGCAACAGGAAGTGGAGTGCATATATTGTATCTGAATAATCACTGATCACGTAGCAGCTTTTTCACTGAGGAGGGGAAGTATTCGTCGTAACTACAGAGCTCTGACCGCGCCGTCGCACCATTCCATACAAATGGAAATGATGCTTTCTGTTCTCCCGTCACAGGAGAGCGGCTTCCCATTTTCCGCTCCCACTGTCAAGTTGTGCACAGCTGCATAAGTTTGCTGGCTTGTGTGCGGGGCAACAGGAAATGGCTGTTGACAGCATAATGGGACTATGAAGATGCAGTATAAATCCTTAATCATGCCTGAATCATGAACTGCAGCACTCAAATGCACACATCATTCTGCTGAAACTATTAGCAGAGAGGACGGAACACAGAAAAGTGTTGCAACTACATTTTCCAAAGTTTGTTTCTTCCCAGATAGTTAATAGATTTCCAGCTGTGCTAATACTGTACGCTGATGCTATTGTTACAAGCTCTGCAGGCGTACTTGTGTAAATGCAAATAAAGAGTCTTCCCCTTCTAAACGACATCAGACAAAACATAACTCCAATTGTATTGCAGCAGCGACTCCCATAACGTGCCGTATCTGCATCTTCACCCCTTTTTTATGTCATGTGGAATTACCCAGCAAATCTAGACAAGTTACATTTAAAGACTCCAGTCATATGGGAGTCTGTTCATCTCACAGTTAATCAAAACCGAGCACTGAATGAACGGAGGGGGGGGAAGTGAAATAAGCCAACCTGTATCTCATAGCGTGGCCTGGCAGATTTGACTCAGAACATCATTACGTTTCAGGGTTCGCCTTTCATGCAAATCACCTCTCCATGCCTGGAAGTTCATTACTAATGGCAGTTCCCATCAAGTTGGAGAGCCATCCGAATACTAATATCCCCCCTGCGCTTCGGATTTTGTCACCTCCAGTCCCCCAACTCCTCATAACGTGCAACAAATGTGGTTTTCTTTCATAGAATTAGGCGCCTCCTGCCCCCTGTGGCGAGCTACCCACAGCAGATGCTTTGCAGTTGTTTCCACAGACCATTGGAGCCTAAATGAACTAAGAGAACAGTCACTTTATATGTATTAGGCTGGGTGTAGTAGCACTTGTCTTCATTTGCTTGACTTGTTTATTTCTTCAATCCCGCAACACGCACTCCCCTAGAAGCTTAGTCTTCCTTTATGAAAATAGCCAAAACTGGAAATAAAATTGCAGATTGCATTATAACATACAAGTGTTGCTCTATTTAACACAGCGTGATGAGTATTTTTGGACAGAGTAAGCTTTTTGGCATTCTAAAATATGGATAAACCATTCTTGAGTTATTTCTGGAATCCCTATGCATACAGTATGAATAGTGTGCCGTCACTTGGCTGTGTTACTTCACTCCCAGCTTTCATCTTGGCTAGAGCTTATGCCATCGTATTTGTCAGGACAGGATCAGGGTTTCATTGTACACTTTATGATGCACAGATACACAAAAAATAATTTTTTCTAGAGTTCCTGCATGTTTTGATGTTACAAAAACTAAAATACACAATAGAAAAATATGCTGTTTTTTCAGCCACACTGTTTTTCTTTGTTTAGGAAATTACGTCGCAGGAGTTGTTTTATCCAACTCTTGCAACGCTAGAGTATGTGTTGAAGACAACTAACGCTGCACATCTGCATTAAAAACTATTGAAATGTGACATATAGTGGCAGCAGCACAATGTGGCAACGCTTTTGTTATATCAAGACCAGGATGATACGGAGCAATGCAGGAAAGAAACCTGGAAACGACAGGAGACTGGGTTTCCCATTTTCTTTGTTTAGATAAAAACATTAAAAAAATTAGCAAATGGTTCAGTTAAGGTCCAGACGTCACTCTTATTTAAAATCTGTAGGCAGACTTCAAAATTGCTGTTCTCCGATGTTTTCCCTTCATTCGCACTAAGCTTGAGCTTTTTTGTAGAATGAGCTGAAATGTCAGTCTTCAGATGTGCAAAGCTGGTGGAGAGACACCTCGAAACACATTCAGAAGTAATTACAGTGAAAGCCGGTTCTATACAGCATTATCTAAGGTGGGACAACCACAAATGCATTATTCTACACCAATTTTTTTTCAAGTGAGAAGCTCCTGTTAAGGTGGGTTGCTATGTACTTCCTACTCCAGTTCCCCCAACTAATGTTGGTTTATCCAAAGTTAATAAATAGTATTCCATTTCTGTTCATTTCCTGTAGATGTAACCACTGTGATGGCATTGCTATCAAGTCTCTGCTGTATTAAGCTGTGATTTCATGTACTAGCTTTTTTTTTCTAAATATATATTTTAACAATGCATCAGATCACTGCTGACACTTTTCAGTCTAGATTTCTGCAAGCAATTAAAATTAGAGCACATTTATTTAAAAATTGTACATTGTTACCAGAATCATTCACAAGGATAATATTGGGTTTTGTATTTTAACAAAAGCAGAAGAGAAGATGGGGACGAAAAAAAATCTTGCTCCTGTTTTTCTTTTTTTTTATTTTGGTTGCCGATAGGCCTCTACTCACCCTCAATACATTGATGGAAAGGGAGAGAGAGCAGAAGAGCAAAATGGAAATAGTAATAAACATGCTAATGCTAGGCCGTGAAGCCGGGAAGAGCAGCTTCAATCCGCTGTATGCTACTATGTGTGTGCGTGCGTGTGTGTGTGTGTGTGCGTGAAGGGAAAATACAGAGATAGAGACAGAGTGAGAGTGAAAAGAAAAAAAAGAATTGTGCAAGGTGTTGTATGTGAGCACACCTGCACACAGTGTGCACTCGCTGAGAAAACAGCAGAGAGCCGCATGTGAATGTTGCCACCTTTCTCTTTCAATCGGCCCCTGGAGACGGTGCAAAGGGCTCATTGGTGAGATAAGAAGGGAGGGAGGGGGATTCATGGTGGCGGGGGGGTTTCAGAGTCACAGAGCCAGTTTTTTTCTTTTTATAGGTGAGAAGCACCTCTTTCAATAGAAACTCATTTTCCATGTTGTGTAATTGCAGAACATAATGGAGCACACCTCATTCAAACAGCCCAAGACCCTTTTTATTATTACTCCAAAGCTATTTTCTCCATTCACAATCCAAACAAGTCATGTTTTAGAGAGATATTACACTGTCGTTTTAGCTCAGGGCAACCACAAATTTGCCTTTGAAAGGATTGCTATGTCTAATCAAGATTAAATTTTACCCAGAGCTAATTATAAAGGAAGACAAAATCATCCAGCTTATTTTTCATCTAACTCTTGCCCTGACCTTTCCTGTCCAGATTTGTAAAGCATGCGTTTTAACAGCTAGGAATATACAGCCTGAGTCAACCTGCCACTAGGACGCCGCTATGAACAATAAACAGCATGCTTGTTAATTGGATAACAATATCATGCTTTTCTCTCTTTTTTTTTCTCCCATAGACGATCAAATGAATATCAAAGCTGAAACATGGAGATGAAAAATGACTGATTTGAAAATCATTGCTGAGCTTTTTTTATTAAACCTCCGCAGGCTAGAGAAAAGGATGGCTATTTGCATAATTTAACTGGCATCTTAATTATTGTGTCAGGAATCGGTATGCAAATGACTTAAGTCACTTAGAAACAAAAACTTACTCGGCTACACAGCTAATGGACTAAATCTTATCAAGTTAGGATATACAGCGTGAGAGGAACCAGGGTTTATTTGCACACAATGACAGTGAAGAAAACCAAATAAACAGATAAACGTAACCTTACCTGTCACAGGTAGAGAGACGTGCATGTAAGAGGTGTATGTGTGTTGGACTGCTTTGCTATTTTTATAAAAAAAGTCTTCCTTTAGGGGGCTGATGACAAAAGACCTACCACGTAAAACAGTCAGCCTGGTCGTGGCGCTCGTCTCTCCAACACTGTTGGAGGCGACGCATTCGTATATGGCTTCGTCTCGGGGCGTGCGCAACGGCTGAATTCTTAGCACGGAGCCAGAGCCATCGCTGAAGTCTATCACCTGCAGGTGCGAGAGACAGGATATGTTAAAGGAGATTTTTTTGTTCACAATGAGTGAGGGACCTTCCACAGAAAATAATATTAACAACAACTGAAAAATAAAGTTAACGACAGTTCAACAACAATGATGGAGACTGACAAAATGTGCTTCCTATGACATAAACAGCCGTTTGCCTATCTTAATGTAAAGACTCTTTGTTTTTTTTTGTATACTTGTGGATATTTATTGAACAAGTAAGGATATCTGCGCATGAATAAGACTTTTTGTTGTGTCCAGGTTAGGCAGGGCCGGGAGGACAGTCTCACGGTGTGATGGCCTTAAGTAAAAATACTATAGTTTTATAAAACTAACACAAAAACAGTAGGCGATACAAAAATATAATAGACGATCTAAAGCATCAACAATAATTCCTAGTAATATATTATTGTATTTATTATGTTATCCATTAGATTTAGTTTGTTTGATTTCTATGAATAATAATATTCCATAGACTATTTACAAGTGGTTTTCAAGTACATATTGCACTGAATATTGTCTTTTTGCTGTTTCTTTAAGAAACAGCAAAAACTAACAAGAATAACAAGCTGGAATTAGCTTAGTAAATAAGTTGCCTGTGGCTTGCAACTGTTGTCTTAAATCAGCATTAATTAACAAGCGTGACAAAAATTTTCCAAAACATCAAATCTGTTTTCCATATATGTCAGGTAAATGCCTTATAGCTTTCACTAAACGGGCTTATAGCATCATTAACTAGCAAGTGTGTGGCACCATCTTGACATGTAAAATGTATTATGTATTTTTTTCCTGAGAACTCTTTAGTCAATTTAATGCTAGGTTTGTCTTCTTGTCTATTACTAATGATTGCATTTAGTTGACAGAATGTATTTTGCAGTTTTCAAGAAAAACATTTTGAGTCCCAACTTCTCTTTTTCACTGAAATGTGTGTTCAAATATATATCTAAAAAGTCTAATTTATCCTTCTGTTAAGTAACAAAACATCTGTTAGCCTTCTTTCAGCATGAAGAGGTGGATTAGGAGAGTGCTGCACGACTCCAAAACATCTGGCGAAAACCCTCATCGCTTCTCTATTTTCAGATTTCCAAAATATTAGCCATCTAATGTTACTAGCTAAAAGATTAGTGTCAGGTATGTTAGGGGCAGCAAAGTCCTCATTTAAACAACTATAGAAAGGCCTTTTCTGCCATCTCAATGAAAGAAAACGTAATAATACAGCAGCCGTGTGAAGACATATTTTAGCAGAGCTAGCCATTCAGAACTGACATATTGTTACAGGTAACCGGCCCATGCCCACTCCAGATATATATTTACATATGATAGATATTCACTTTTAGTAAATGAAACCTAGCGCATTAACTGATGTGGCTGACTAACTTTAAGAATGGGGCTGGATGTTTATTTTGCACACATATTTTGTTGTAGGGTGAATTTTAAGTCTGAACATGTCCCACTCTTAAAGCTAACATTCAGTCTCCTGAACGGTAAAATGCATCACACTGGATCGTGTCAATGGGACAGAAAACAAGCACAAACAGTAAACGGTGGCTTCGTACTCGGTTACGGACATTTTGTACCATGAGGTGAGGTAGTGGTACGAGAGACAGGACCAACTTTTGCTGGACGAACGACACATAAAATGCTTCACAAACAGGTGTTTGTTGTAGCTTATTCAGCTATCGTTGCATGCTATGTGTTGTATACTCACTGATTTTAGAAAGATCTGTGTCATAACTCAATCTCTTTTAAGCATAGAGGTAGATTCAAGTAAAAGATAGGCCTGAGACCACTTTCTCTCCCACACACAGGCACACGCCGCCACACACAAACACACCGAGGCCTACAGACATTTTAAAAATACACAGTATATCTGAGCATGTGTTAGTTAACAAAACTCTGCAACATTTCACTGGCCAAGCTAAAGCGGTGTTGGCACTCCAGGTGTCAGCAGGTGATGGTAAAAACAGCCTCCTTTCTGAGTTTGGGCCAAAGAGCAAATTAGAAAGGAAGTTGTGGGGCTTCCAGAAGGAAATGGGTTTTCGTTAGAAGATGAGGTGGCAGTGCATGATTGAATGGGTGCAGAATTGTAGCAGAGAGCGAGCCCCCACGGGGCAATGGGTGGATGAATGGAAACTAACGTGTTAGCATTCAGCTGGACGTGCGATGCAAACGCGATGAACTCTGATAAGATTGGATTTCTGTAAGCGTGAGATGCGAAAAAGAGGTTTGAGCTCCATTAGGCCTTTGGGAGCTAACAAATATGGCCGCTTCGGAGCAAAGAAAAGTCCAGAGGACTGACACAGAAATTAATAGAAATCTTATCAGCGCTCTGCAATGATTTTGTGACGGTGTTAAGCTCAAATGTGGATTAATGCTGACTAGAAATCAAAGCTTCAGCCAAAATAAAGAGGGTGGGATATGCATTCGCATAAAGATGCCACAAAGCAAAAGGATCTTTCCAAGTGAAAGTGCCGCTTCCCCTTTCACTTTGCATGAAGCTGGAAAATGTGGTGTGATGCTAATGTAAGGATCTGTGTCACACCACAAGGATTTTTTTTCCTAATCTGTCCAATTGCTTTCCGTTGGCAACATATTCAAATTTATCAATGTATCTTTCTCGTTAAAACTCATGCATATTTAAAGCTGGGTCAGCGTGATTATTAGAGGCCGCTAATGCGTAGTGGCAATTCGAAGGGAAAGCAAGCAAATGGGACTTGGTGCAATGGATTGTGTAGCAAGCAGAGCCAAAAGAGCGGTGCTGAAACATTCCCATTTTGTCGAGCATTTTACATCAGAACAATAGACCTAATACCTCAAATCTCTGGTTGCTCACTCTCTTCCCCTTCTTGTTCCACACAATCTTCGGCTGTGGATCTCCGGTGGCCTGGCAGATGAAGGACGCCACACCTCCCTGCACGCCTGTTTGGTCATTGGGGGTTCTTAAAAATTTTGGCGGTGCTGAAAATACACAGAGACAGAATGAAAAGGAAATTGCAAAATGTTAGTGATCACGTTTATTAAATGCACAAAGAGAAATATTCGACATATCTGCACACTTAAGTCAAAAGATTAAGTTGCTGCAAATGCCATGAGACTGGGAATCGAACCCAAGACAACCAGATCTGCATTTCGTGCATGCGCTCTACCAACGGAGCCTCAGCCACAAATATGTGGCTTTTAAGAAATCTTGTTAAATGATGCATTCAGTTTAATTCCCATTAAAACATTTAAATATAAAAAAGAGAAATGAATTATTAAAACAAGCAGAGAAATTAACAACAATAAAAGAAGATAATGCCAATTTTAGTTCATGATATTAAGAATCAGCTTTTCTATTTTACCTACAAAATTGCAGAACATTTGTGTTTTAAGGGGTAAGCTTTTCTATCACATACTGACTGGCTGATGGATTAGACTTGAATCTTGTGTTTAGGACTGTAAAGCGCTTGCACCTTTATCAGTTTTATTAAGAAAGATTACTCAATGTTACACTGTCAACATTTTGTTCTCTCATAATTCTCCAGTCTTAGCTACAGCACATCACTCTGCTTTTAAGAGGAAAAGCAGCTGGAGTCATTACTGAGCTTTAAATCAAAATAACACAAGATTGAACCAGAGACAGTGCTCTGTGGTAATGAAATACAATGAATGTGTGTCAAAATGTTTGTCACTGTGAGCCTTCTGTTGTTAGAAATATTCACCAAGTTCAAGATAACAGCTCTGTGGCGAACAAGAAAAGCTTAATTAAAGCTAAAAGTGCAGTAGATAGTTAAATCGTGTTTGCTTTGTGTTGATCTGGTGTGGTAAAAAGCTCAGACTTCTCTGACAGTCCAATGAATACAACTGCCCATCAGAGAAGCTACAAATATTGGTTTGTGGAGTTAACACTGCAGTTAAAAGTTTGTTTTAAATGGCATACGTCTTAGTAGTGAAAGATTTATAACATTTTTATTGCTATAACTACAATGGATAACAGTTTTGTAAGCGTATGCAAAACATAATGTTTCACAGATTGGATAAGTTAGTGAAATTCAATAGTAATTTTACCCAACAGAATAATAAACTGAACTTAACTGCATTGTTTCATCACTAGATAAGTAACTCAGACAAGAACGTATGTAATTAACTTGATTGAACCAAATTGACTGTTAGTTGGCTCTACATAAATAAACTGGATTGAACAGATGACTTCAGGTGTTAATTGGCAGTCTGGGGCTACTTGGCATCTTTTGGTAATTCTAGAAAGCAACGAGAAACAAATACATGTTGTTTTGACTCATCCTTGCATGTTTGAGGTCATCACATCATCAGCAATCAGGTCTTTCTTTAATCATCTCTAAGCGATTGATTTACACTTTTTTTGTGTTTTCAGGTCATAGCATTTTTACTATTTTTCATTCAAGTGATATTTTGATGTTTTCTTTGCCTGTGATTCTTTATTCTCCTGCCTGAATGACCTTGCGTATGAAAAGTGCAAAACAGACAAACTTGCACAGAGCCTGAGCTCTGGCTTTGGTGGGCGGTGCAGCTCCATCTGTGAAACAACTGCTTCCCTTTTATCAATCAATTCAGTGGGCTCTTAGAGAGCCGACCGGCTGCGGTAATGCCGACCGTCTCAATCGCCTCATCTGTATGTGTGACGACTTGTCATTGTGCCCGTTCTACTCCCTGTCTGACCATGTGCAAACTGATTTTCCCCCGAAACCTCTTTCGGATTGTATTGCCCAGAAGCAGCGCAGGCAGCGGTGCGATTGAGGGACAAATTAACCTGCAGGATTCGTGGAGAGGTGACATGCAGATGTGTGGCCGGCAATCAAAAGGGCGAGCAGATAAACAGGCAAGCAGCTTTCCTTCCACTGGGCAAATGAGGCTGGGAAATCGCTTGATTTCCTCACAGCATACCACTTCCTTTACTACTCGCAGACATCAGCAACCCCTCGGGCTTCCCAATAATAATAATAATAATAGTAATGTTGAGGCAAAAGTATTCCTGTAAATCTTTTCCTGTCTGGAAAAATTAGGAGCAGAGGTTACAGTATCCTGTATGTGGACAGGTATATCTGCATTTTCACTCCAGCTAATTTGACTTAGCCGGAGTGCATCCGACCAAGAAGGTGCTGATGGGTAATTGATATGCTATTGGGGTTGTTTTCGCTCCGGGGCCATGCATTACGGCTCGCTGCGTCTCCATACGCCGGTTGTAATAGACTTCTACAGCATGTACGGGAGATCAGCGCTGGAGGTGAGGGGAATGGGGTTGTTTGGGTGGGCTGATGTCATCGCACAATGGGGAATGATTGAGGCGTGACGTGAAGGTAATGGTGTTTTCAAAGACACGGCCGCTGATATCGCCATCATGCACTCATTTTAGGTCTGCTGCTGACAAACATCAATTTTGGGAGACTCCTCGTATGGCTTCAGGTAGATGGAGGCTGATTGAAACCTCGTCTTTGTTCCAACAATGCCACGACTGGAACCGTGACAGCGAGCAATAAGATATGGCCCGTGAAGAAGAAGAATGAAAAAAGAAAGAAAGAAAAAAAAAAAAGAGAACATTTTGCAAACCATAAAAACAAAACCCCGACTCTTTTTCTGCAACTGTCTCAGAAGATGACATCATTCTTAAATTTGTGGCTCCCATCTGTTTGACTGTAATCCTGCTAATCTGAACAGAAATTAATTTAATTAACAGAGACTTTCATTTAGAACAGCATGTGGGCTTTGTTTCGCAGAATGAGTCCAAACTGAAAGATGCTCCTTTCACCTAAGCCACACGTGCACGTCTCCTCCGAGAGGTAACCATAAGCTGCATTAATTAATACTGCGGCTGGGAAACTGCTAATCCACTGCTAAGCTGCTGCCGGCAAACAAATGAGAAGCGTAAAGCCTGTCACAAGTTAAAAGGCTGGTGACGAGAGTCTGCGACTGCCCTCCCTGGAGGTCATTACATAACCTTGATCATTCTTTGTTCACACAAAAAGAGTGGGGAGCTCTTCAGAGCGTTCCCTCAGTTCCTCTGATGAGTGTCATTTTTATAATTTGGCATCAGAGAGACTGGGTTAAGTAAAGCAGATTGTTTTATGACTTCAAGTAATTATTTTTTTTTTTTTGTGGATTGGTTCGAGATCCACTGAAGATGGCTTAATGGAAACAAAATAATACCTAAAAAGGCACTGATCAGACTTCGACTCACAGAGATTGCTTTTAAGTTTTCTTCCTCGCTCATTCATGCTAAATTTGTATAATCCAGCATGAAGATGTAATAGATATTGACAAAAGACAAAATGTTTAGATTAATAGACAGAAATAGTAAAATGAACATGTTTTCTTCTCATTTAGGTCCCTAACATTTGGTTGACTTTTACTAAACTCACAGCTAAATGAATCAAATAGCACAAGAGAAGTCAAAATATTTTATTAGTTGACCTGATAGTCATTGGGGAGAGAAGCAATTCATGCTTTGCTACTTACCATTTTATAGTGGCATGATGGAGAAAGTATCTTTTGTGCGACACAACAATCAAATTTCAAAATTTGTGATTGTCTGGATAGGAAACATGAAAGTCTAAGACGAGTTTTAAGTTCAAAAGTTTAGAACAATCAGGAAATCTTGCGTGTACATATCCAAATTTGGAAGCTGCAAGTTTTCCAAAAGGTCTATTTCAACTCAAAATGGGAATTAAGTTTTAGAAAAAAGATCATGTTGTGCCGAAGAAGACTTTTAGCCTGGGAGTTGGATGATTTATTCATTAGAAAAGCAGGCAACGAGGCGCAATGCCTGCCGTGTATATTTATTTTTCTGCATTTGGATTTCATTGAAAACAAATCCAAACTAATAGAGTAAATGTCAGTGTTTTTTGTAACATAAATAGATTTAGCTAACGAACCTATGAATTTGGGTCTGAATTTTTTTATTCTGCACCCCGGTTAAAAAGAAAAATCGCAAAGCAAGCACCTTCGAATCTTCATCTAATTTTCACTAGATGTTCAGCAACAATTGACTTAAAATGTAGTTTTTTTTTTTCTCTTGACAACGTCAAAATTCTAACAGTGTTTTGTGACTAAAACTATATATTTCACTTTCATATAAGTCAAAAGACATATTATGATTCCTGTTCAAACCAAAAACAATTAGGTGTCACTTTCTGTACATAGATATTATTTATAGGAGTGACATAAGCACGTTTCCCCACAGTTAAAATAAAATAGATTGTTGACAAAGCAGGTATGAAACATGCTGGAGGTGGATACAAAATGTCCGGGAGGAGACAGCTGGTGTTCATAATTTAGCCCCAAAAAAGTTGGGTACAAAATGATCAGAATGGGAAAAGTACTAAAAAGATCTAAGTGTGAACTGACGAGCAGCCTTTGTGAGGCGAAAATGAGAGATTTTCAAAGTAAAGTCACACCTGCAAGTCATAAAACCTGGATTAGTAGAAAAATACTGAGCCAACAAGTTCAACCACCCTAAAAATAAATTTACAGATGGCAATGAAGATTCTTGATATCAAACTGACTCCAGCTTAGACTAAAATAAACCTGGTGTTCATCATTTATGCATTTATGGCAGAAGGTTACAGTTACAGATGCTTCCTAAAAGCTTTCTCTTGTACCTGCTGTAAGGTCAGACTCTTCTGAACTTCAGTGAACTTTGTAACTGAGAACCGACGGCTACTGCACATTTTTCCATTGATCACAGTTTTACCCAGCAGCCAGAGCTGTGTTTGACATCACCATAACCTGCAGCCAAATATCAGATTTAAGGGATCTTGCAAAGCTCCACGTCTGACTTTTCCTGCACGATGGCCAAAACATTTTAAGTAATCAGGAATCCACAATGAAGTGACGTGTGATCTGCCAAGCCATTACAGAGAGCATGAATCAAACACTGCAGAGGACATTAATAAACTGACTTTTTGTCTGTGCCTCTTTTTTTTTTTTTTTTGGCATGAACCCCG